CCCCCCCTCGCCCCCTGCTTTAGACCCCACCAGTCGGTACCGTGAGTCACATAACTCCCCTGGGTAGAAAACTGAAGGTCCTTTCTGTCCCCCCAACCCACCCCAACTCCCTCCTGTCCAGGTATATGTGAATAGAACATAGTAAACTGGAGACATGTGGAAAGTGCAACGTGCATGGAAATGACAGATAAATTTATTAATTGGGGAAGAAAAAGAAAAGGGTAGATAAAGTTCCCTGTGAGTTTGACAACACTTAAAACAGGAAAAATAAATTGAAGTAACCGAACAGCACTAAAATGACCTCTCCTCAACCCCCTCCCCCAACCACCCCTGCAAACCATGACTGCTTTGAACCACGGGGTTACTCACAGTTAACAGCAAGTAAGTGCCCTTATCCCCAAACCCTACAGTTGCCAGAATCCAGTTGTGAAAGTCCCTCCCAACCCCTTCAACTGTTGTCAAGATCCTATTAGCACTGAATAATTCCCCCTAGACTTGGTCTGCCTAACAATTGTGAACATTAACAGAAAATGAAAAAATAATAAATGCAATTTAACTGGGCAGATATCCTTGGCAGAACAATCACAAACCAAAAGTTGTCATACCTGCTGAGGGGCCTGTGACGGGCTGGGTCTCAGAAACCCTCTTGGGACTGCCACTTGATGTGCTGAGACTACCTCTGAGCCCATTTTCCCTGGCAGCTTAGGACTTCAGTACCCTGTCTTGTTGAGCCAGACGCACTAACTTGCTGCAAACACAGACCCAGGTGTGAACCACATCCCCCAAAAGCTGCAGGCTTAACTGAAAACAGCTTAAGAAGTGCTCCTGTCTCCAACATCCAGATACCCAGCTCCCAATGGGGTCCAAACCCCAAATAAATCCGTTTTACTCCATATAAAGCTTATACAGGGTAAACTCATAAATTGTCCGCCCTCTATAACACTGATAGAGAGATATGCACAGCTGTTTGCTCCCCCAAATATTAATTACTTGCTCTGGGTTAATTAATAAGCAAAAAGTGATTTTATTAAGTATAACAAGTAGGATTTAAGTGCTTCCAAGTAATAACAGACAGAACGAAGTAAGTTACCTAGCAAAATAAAATAAAACACACAAGTCTAAGCCTAATACATTAAGAAACTGATTACAGATAAAATCTCATCCTCAGAGATGTTCCAGTAAGCTTCTTTCAGAGACTAGACTCCTTTCTAGTCTGAGCCCAATCCTTTCCCCTGGTACAGTCCTTGTTCCAGCTCAGGTGGTAGCTAGGGGATTTCTCATGACTGCAGTCTCCTTTGTTCTGTTGCACCCTCTTATATACCTTTGGCACAAGGCAGGAATATTTTGTCTCTTTGGGTCCCCATCCCGCCTTCTAAATGGAAAAGCACCAGGTTTAAGATGGATTCCAGTACCAGGTGACATTGTCACATGTCCTGTGAGACCCCAAGCCTTCATTCTTCCCAGCCTGATTCACAGGAAGGCTTGCAAGTAAACAGAGCCATCTACAGTCAATTGTCCTAATTGATGGGAGCCATCAAGATTCTAAACCACCATTAATGGCCCACACTTTGCATAACTACAATAGGACCTCAGAGTTATATTTTATATTCCTAGTTTCAGATACAAGAATGATACATGCATACAAATAGGATGAACACACTCAGTAGATTATAAGCTTTGTAATGATACCTTACAAGAGACCTTTTGCACGAAGCATATTCCAGTAGCATTATATTCACACTCATTAGCATATTTTCATAACATCATATGGAGTGCAAAGTCACACCCTCCTACTGAACTTACTGCCAGAGACTTGGACACTGTCCATGGCGGACGCCGTATACCTAAAATTCCTCTTTGACTCCCCTCTGGGGCAGACATTCCTGTGTCCCCCAAAAGGGAAGATGACCCTGATCCAGATGTGGACTCACAGCTACCAACTATGACAGACCCTTCACTAGCCAGCAAAATCCCCTCCCTTTCACTCAGGTTGGGCTTGCTTCCAGCTACAGAGTCCTTGGGGTCTGTTCCCACCGCAGCAGTCACCAGGACCCCAACTTTCACCCCCAGGATTCATGTCTCTGTGCACCTCTTCCACTCCATTACAGCCAGTTCATGCTTCTGGGTCTCAATTTGTCCTTGTCTCTGGGCCTCAATTTCTTTGTCTTTTAAGTCCAGGGTTTGCTGGTGTGCAGCCCCTTGTCTGGCTGCTTCTACCTCCATGGCAGCCTTTTCCCAGGCAAATTGCGCATCAATTTCCATTTGTCTCCCCTTGAGACTGTCACTCAATCGGCTGGGATACCACTGAGAACCCCCTCCTGCCAGAACAGGTGCCCCTCCACTCCAGTCTTGCTGAGTTAGACACTCCAGTCAGCTTCAGCACAGACCCAGAGGTTGGGCCACACCCCTCTGCAGTTCACTGAAACTGAGATGCACTCATCTCAGGGCCTTCTTAGTTAACAGAGACTTTCCCAGCACCCAGTGTTCAGCCTTTCTGGGCAATTTGCAACTTGTGCAGTTCTAGCTTCTTTTGATCGTCACTCTTACTTATTTTGCTTCCTTTTCTGTCCCTATTTCCCTTACCCAAAATAAGCAAACAGAAAATAACAAACCGGTAACCACTTTGTCTGTTCTCCAGCCACCACACTTAAAACTTACTTAAAATCACTACCAGTATCTCAAAGCAATGAGCTGTGCACAGATCCTGCTCAACTACGCCATTGTAACGGGTTGGGTCACAGAAACCCCCTTGGGATTGCCACCTAATGTGCTGAGACTCTCTCTGAGCCTGTTTTCCCTGTCAGCTTGGGACTTCAGTACCCTGTCTTGTTGAGCCAGACGCACTAGCCTGCTGCAAACACAGACCCAGGTGTGAACCACGTCCCCCAAAAGCTGCAGGCTTAACTGAAAACAGTTTAAGAAGTGCTCCTGTTTCCAGCACCCAGATAAATCCATTTTACCCTGTATAAAGCTTATGCAGGGTAAACTCATAAATTGTTCACCCTCTATAACACTGATAGAGAGATATGCACAGCTGTTTGCTCCCCCAGATATTAATTATTTGCTCTGGGTTAATTAATAAGCAAAAAGTGATTTTATTAAGTATAACAAGTAGGATTTAAGTGCTTCCAAGTAATAACAGACAGAACGAAGTAAGTTACCAAGCAAAATAAAATAAAACATGCAAGTCTAAGCCTAATACATTAAGAAACTGATTACAGATAAAATCTCACCCTCAGAGATGTTCCAATAAGTTTCTTTCAGAGACTAGACTCCTTTCTAGTCTGGGCCCAATCCTTTCCCCTGGTACAGTCCTTGTTCCAGCTCAGGTGGTAGCTAGGGGATTTCTCATGACTGCAGTCTCCTTTGTTCTGTTGCACCCTCTTATATACCTTTGGCACAAGGTGGGAATCTTTTGTCTCTTTGGGTCCCCATCCCTCCTTCTAAATGGAAAAGCACCAGGTTTAAGATGGATTCCAGTACCAGGTGACATGGTCACATGTCCTGTGAGACTCGAAGCCTTCATTCTTCCTGGCTTGACTCACAGAAAGGCTTGCAAGTAAACAGAGCCATCTACAGTCAGTTGTCTTAGTTGATGGGAGCCATCAGAATTCTAAACCACCATTAATGCCCACACTTTGCATAACTACAATGGGACCTCACAGATATATTTTATATTCCTAGTTTCAGATACAAGAATGATACATTCATACAAACAGGGTGAACACAGTAGATTATAAGCTTTGTAATGATACCTTACAAGAGGCCTTTTGCATGAAGCATATTCCAGTTACATTATATTCACATTCATTAGCATATTTTCATAACATCATATGGAGTGCAATGTCACAGGGCCCTGCCCCAATTACCTGTAATGAGTCATTACCTAAATAACCAGCTAATGAAAGATAGTGGGAGGGGAACTAAACTGTGTGTTGAAATTCATGTGAACGGGAATGTTCCCTCTTGTGTTATTACAGCAGCCGGAAGGAGTGTGATATTGAATGGTACTGCCTTTAGATGGATGGAAATAAGTCTCCTGGATATTGGGTGGCATCCTAATACTGAATACTTGATATCTTTATGCACAAGAAATCCTACGCTGTTAACGTTTGTCCTCTCCACTGTAATAGAGTACATGGCCTTCTTCTGTTAATGCCTCTCCAAATTTCTTCCATCCGACCTCAGAGATTCCTAGGAGGTGCCAGGTGTATTGTTCCATTGGTACAAGTCTACGCGCCTAGAACAGACTATGACGATGAGCAAATTGAAAATTTTTACAATCAGCTCCAAGACATCATTGATAAGGTACACAAGAAAGATATCCTGATTGTACAGGGAGATTGGAATGCTAAAGTGGGTACTAACGCACAGGCAGATTGGCGAGATTATTGTGGCCCTTTCTGTTATGCGGTAACCAATGAGAGAGTACTGAGAATTTTGGAGTTTGCCAGCTATAACAATCTGGTTCTTGCAAACACATTAGGAGCACATAAAGCATCCAGACGATCAACATGGCATGCACCTGATGGTTTACATCACAGTCAGATCGACTACATCAGGGGTTCTCAAACTGGGGGTCGGGACCCCTCAGGGGGTCACGAGGTTATTACATAGGGGTAGTGAGCTGTCAACCTCCACCCCACACCCCACTTTGCCTCCAGCGTTTATAATGGTGTTAAATACATAAAAAAGTGTTCTTAATTTATAAGGGGGGGGGGTCGCACTCAGAGGCTTGCTATGTGAAAGGGGTCACCAGTAAAAAAGTTTGAGAGCCACTGGACTACATCATGGTGCAAAACTGATTTTGTTCTGGGATCAACAGAGCTAAAACAAGGAGCTTCCCCGGTGCTGATACTGGAAGTGATCAGGACCTTGTGATGCTAAACTTTTGTGATGCTAAACTGCGGCTAAGGAAAATCGTTAGGCCAAAGTTCACCAGAATCAAGTTTGACTTTGAAAGACTTAGAGACCAAAGCATTGCAGAGTCATTCCAAGCAATGATCATCGGAAAATTTGCTCCGCTGCTTGCTCTAGAGGAAGACATAGAAACAATGACCAACAATTTGAATGTTGTAATGAATGAGGCAGCAATGGACATTCTTGGGAAATGTCGTAAGAAGACAAAACCTTGGGTCACAAATGAAATACTACAAATCTGTGACATCAGAAGAGAACTCAAGAGAGACAAGAACAGCACTGAGGGAGCTGATAAATACAAAGCGATTGACAGAAAGATCAAGAAAGGAATGAAGGTGGCCAAGGAGATATGGGTTGAAAAACAATGCTCTAAAATTGAAGAGTGTTATCAATAATAAAAATAGCAAACGAGCCTTCCAGATTGTAAAAGATCTGACGAAGGAAAGATGGACCAAAGCTAATGCAATTCTAGTCAAAGAAGGGAACAGTCTTACAGAAGAAAAGGACATCATCAATAGGAGGACAAATTACTGCTTTGATCTATACAATTACCAGACAAATGGAGATCCTAGAGTCGTAGACAGCCCAGATTCAACAGAGGAGGATGACTTTCCAACACTGCGGGAAGAAGTGGAGTCAGCTGTGAAGTCACTCAAGAATAGAAAGGCTACAGGTATTGATAACATCCCAGCCGAACTAATGAAATTCGGAGAAATAGTAATAGATGTACTCACCAAGATCTGCAACAATATCTGGCAGACCGATGAGTGTCCCTCCACATGGACACAGTCACTAATGATCACTCTGCCAAAGAAAGGCAACCTGCAATTGTGTCAAAATTACCGGACCATAAGCTTAATTAGCCATCCCAGCAAAGTGATGTTGAAAGTCATATTGAACAGATTGAAACCACAAGCAGAGAAAATCGTCGCTGAAGAACAGGCTGGCTTTTGTGCTGGAAGAAGTACCACAGAACAGATTTTCAATCTTCGTGTTCTATCTGAGAAGTACCTACACCACCAGTCGTTGTTGACTTCAAGAAGGCGTTTGACAGAGTATGGCACAAAGCTTTCTGGGCAACCATGAAGAAGTACAATGTTGGTCATAAGCTTATTTTTACCATTAAACAACTGTATGCCAAGGCCAGCAGTGCAGTTCTTGTCAATGGCATAATAGGAGAATGGTTGTTCACCACTGTTGGAGTCCGACAAGGCTGCCTTATTTCACCCACACTGTTCAACATCTATTTGGAGCACATGCCCTAGAAGATCACATATGCACAGTCAGCACTGGGGGGGCGAACAATCTCAAATCTTTGGTTCGCTGATGACATTGACAGCCTGGCAGGTAGCGAAGATAAACTTTTCAACCTTGTGAAACGATTGGATGAAACCTCCACAAAATATGGTATGGAAATCAGTGCAGAGAAAACCAAGCTGATGACAAACAAACATGACAGGATCAGCTCACATATCACTGTCAGTGGACAAGAGTTGGAGACAGTGAAACAGTTCAAGTATTTGGGGGCAATCATCACAGATGAAGGATCAAAGGCAGAAATTATGGCAAGAACTGCACAAACAACAGCAACAGTGGCAAAGCTAAAGCCAATTTGGAGGAACAAGAACATCTCCCTGGAATCCAAACTGAAACTGCTGCACGCATTGGTCATCTCCATTTTTCTGTATGTGTGTGAGACATGGACCCTTTCAGCAGAACTTGAACGGAAAATACAGGTAGCGGAGATGAGATACTTCCATAAAATCCTGGGCATCTCCTACTTTGACCATGTCACTAATGAAGAGGTCCGTAACATCATCACCCAATGCGCTGGGTCATATGAAAACCTCCTGACGACCGTGAAGAAGCGCAAGCTGAAGTGGTACGGCCATGTAACAAGATCATCTGGCCTATCCAAGATCATCCTCCAAGGGATAGTACAGGGGAAGAGAAGAAGAGCTAGACAGACGAAGAGATGGATTGACAACATAAAAGAGTGGACAGGAATGGACTTTGCAGAGACTCAAGCACTGACACACAATCGTCAGGGGTGGAGACAATTGGTTGATTGCTTGTCAATGATGGTGCCCCAATGACCAATGTGGTTATGGGAGTGATGATGATGATGATAATGGAAGGGGTGTGGTGCTTTGTTTGAGACCAGGCTGAGGTCACCCCCTGCCTGCTCGCTGTTCCAAGATGTAGGCACAAATTACATCCAGGATTTCTTTGGCCTGCTGTGATCCAGCACCAGTATGAAAGTATACTGGATCAGGCTGTCGGTAAAGGCTTTGCAAGCCAGTCCTGTCCTGTGACCACTCTGTCCTTAAGTAGCTGCCTTTAGTCTCACAAATATTATGAAGTGCACAGCACGCCACAATAATGTGGACGGAATTGGCCACATTGGCATCCAACTGAGTATGCATGCATCACCAACGAGCCTTCAGCCATCCAAAGGCACACACCACTACCATCCTGAAACTGTAGTTTGTAGTTGATTTCACGTTTTTCAGTACCATTGATGTCAGGGTAGGTTTTCATTAGCCAGAGCAGGAGCAGGTATGTGGGGTCTCCCAGAATAACCATGGGCACAGAGACACCATACAAAACCATGTCATTTTTGGGAATAAAGTCCCTTCCTCCCCTTTTAAATATACCGTAGTCTCAATGTCCTCAGCGCCCTGGCATCATGAACCTTTCCTGTGTATCCAAACCCCAGCGTTCATGAACCTGCCTTTGTGATCGAAGAACGAGTGAATAGTAATCTTTTCGATTGACATATTCACTCACTCCTTTCGGTGGGCAAAGTATGGGAATGTAGGTGCTATTGATGGCCCCCATGCAGTTTGTAAACCCCATTCTCTGGAACTCAGCTATACTTTCTGGAACTTTGGTGATGGCAACCACCTATGGTTAGATGAGAGTGTTGATAGCTTTGCAAACCTGTATCATCATGAGCCCGAAAGTGAAATTCCCTACAATGAAGTGGTTTGTGACTGACCAATAGCTGTCCAACATTGCCAGCTTCCAGAGGGCAATAGCAACCCTCTTTTGCTCCAATATGGGTCTACAGAACTGAGTGTTCTGCCACTGTAGCGTTGGGGCCAGCTCCTCATGGAGCTCCAGGAATGTCTGCTTCTTCCTTCTGAAGTTCTGCAGCAACGGGTCAATATCCCAAGTTTCCAAGACAATGTGCTGGTTCTCCTGGTCCAGAAGCAGTGGTTCACACAAGAACATACAGTCAAACACTGGCAGGGGGTGTGGGGTGCAATCTCTGGGAGGGAGATTGGGTGCAGGAGGGGGTGCGGGCTCTGAGATGGAGTTTGGGTGCAGGAGGGGTCTCAGGGCTGGGGCAGGGGGTTGGGGTGCAGGAGGGAGTGCGGGGTGCAGGCTCTGGAAGGGAGTTTGGGTGCGAGAGGGGGTTTGGTGTGCTGGCTCTGGGAACGGGCTCAGGGATGAGGCAGGGGGTTGGGGTGCGAGAGGGGATGAGGGGTGTGAGCTCCGGCCAGGTGGTGCTTATCTCAGGTGGTACAGCGGGGTTAAGGCAGGCTCCTTACCTGCCCTGGCTCTGCGCCACTCCCAGAAGCGGCTGGCATATCTCTGTGGCCCCGGGGGGAGGCCAGGGGACACCGTGCACTGCCCCTGCCTGGAGGCACCACCCCCGCAGCTCCCATTGGCCACGGTTCCCGGCCCATGGGAACTGCAGAGTCAGTGCTTGGGGCGGGGACAGCACACGGAGACCCCCTGCTCCCTCCCAGCCGCTTCCAGGAACAGCGCAGGGTCAGGGCAGGTAGGGAGCCTGCCTTAGCCCCGCTGCACTGCCAGACTTTTAGCAGCCTAAAATCTCCCAGGAGATACAGCCTGATTCTGGGAGACTCCTGGTGAAACCGGAAGGGTTGGCAACCCTAGTAGGGGGTCAGTGAGAGGTAACTGGGGGTGCATGGCGAATGAAGGGGCCAATGTGGGTTGGAGAATGAAGGGGGTTTGTTGAGGGGGATGGGATGAGGGGGTGCCAATGGGGGCTAGTGGGTGCAATGGGTGTCAGTTGGGGTGATGGGGAGTCAGGAGGCAGCTGGGGATTCACAATCTGATCTGCACATGTTGGACTGTGCTCATACAATTGTTTAATTCTCATTTTTGGAACCGGAAGTAGTTCCTACCTACCGGAAGTGTTTCCCAAGCGGAAGTGATCTTGAATCGCGTCTGCGCAGAGAGGCCGCAGGCGGCAAATTCCGCTCTTTCCTATTTTTTCCTCCGCGTGACCCGGAAGTGACTGAAGATTGAACGGAAGCTGCTTCCGACTGGCTGGAAAACAAAGGGCCCTGCTGCGAGGGGACCAGTAGGATGTGCGGGAGGCTCCCGCAGCCGGAAGTGCGTTTTAACGGCCTCATTCCGAGTTTGTCCCTCCGAGCGGGGAAGTGACGTGAGCCGCGGGCAGCGCCTGGCCTCGCAGTAGGGAGCCCACGGGAGACGCCCGCGCCCAGCAGGGGGAGTCCCTGGACCCGCCTGGCACGGGGGGCCGGGGCCGCTCCGCTCCGGAGGAGCCGCCGCGCCTGGGGAGTGCCCTGGACAGCGCCCCCGTGCGCCGCGGGCGGCCGGGCGCCTCCCGGGCCCGCTCCGCGCACCATGTCCGGCTCGCCGCTGGGGGCGCCGCACAGCCCCGAGGAAGGGCCCGGCAGCGCCGCGCAGTGGTGAGTATCGACCCCCGCCCCCGAGAGGTTCCCGGCGGGGCCGCTCGCAGGCAGTGCGGGACAGTGCCCGGGGAAGGGGCTGCGGGCTGGAGCCTCTCGGCAGAGCGGCCCCACCACTGCCCCTGGGCTGGGGCTGGGGAGGAGCCTCGGAGCCTGGCCCCCGCTCGGAGAGAGCTCTGGGCCTGGGGACGGCAGCCACTGCAGGGTCTGGCACCAGCTAGCTGCTCTGGCCTGTCACTGAGCTAGGGCTGCACCGGAGGGGGACCAGGACCCCGAGGTACTGGGTGGGGGGGGCTGTTGCTTGTCACTGGGGTGAACCGAGTTTGGGGTTCCCAGGCACTCTCAAAGCGCAGTGTGAAGCCGGGTAAGTAACAATCATCGTTATGCTCATGGAGGCTTACGAGGACAGGGGGAGACATTTGCACTGGATCCTGAAAGGAATGGGAATCGGATTAGGGTAGGGAAGGATGGGGCGGGGCGTGTAGCCTACTTTCCCTGCTCTACCCTAATGCTGGATTGGGAGGTGGTATGTTTTCTCTCTGTTCAGCTACCGAGGAACAACAGAGAGTGTGTGCACAAGACCTGGTCTTGCCTCCATAGTTAAACAAAGAGCACATTGTTCCTCTGTAAAATTGCATTTTGCTTTTGATTTGGCAGCTTTTTCTAGTGACCAGAGTTGCTTTGTCAAAGGAAAACTTCCCTAATTTGGGGAGCCAGTTTATGGTTCCCTGCTCTAGGTCAGTCCCTTAAAGACATCATTGGCATGGTGCATCAGTCTCAGAAGACCTTCTCTGTATATAGGCAACGATTTTCTTGAAAGACTGAGTGGGATCTAAGCCAATAGTGTAACTAGATAAAGACTGCCCCAAAAGTCTTAAGGGGGCAGCCATCAGTGAGGAAAAGGGCAAGCACTGCTTTCGCTCCTTCCTCCATGAACATCACACAGATTAGGTCTGTGCCATTTTCAGGTTTCTCCCAATAAAAGGTATAGAAGGGTCTCTTCTTATGCAGACAGGACTGGCTGCAGGGCTGCTCCCAGGGAAGGGAATGGGTAGTGGCTTTACAGGTGCAATAAATCTCTCTCAGTTAGCCAAAGATGGTTTCCTACAGGAGCATGAATCAGAGCAAAACTTCCCCTTTTCACACCTCTGAGATTGAGTGGTCTTGTACTCCATACTAGATACTAATATAGAGAAGGGCAGTTATTCGTTCCCACTTGGGCCTTTTTTGGTCAGTCAGTATCTTTGCAGGCATGGGTTAGGAACCTTTTTAAGGGAGCAAGCCGAATCTAATCAGTGCAATGTAATAATTGTAATCTAAACAGTCATTAGAAATAGCTCATCACTGTCAATAACTAAGCCAGGACTAGTTTGTCTTCTAGGTAGCTCCTTGTTAGAGGAGTGCCTAATGATTCAGCTCTATGAAAGGAGAGCTGCAATGCTGTTGTGACTGAGTGACATGCAGCTTCTGAGTCACAGAATCCCTACCCTACAGGTTACAGAAAGATCTAGGATGCACTGATCTCTCCAGTAAGGAAAGTTTACCTACTTTCCGCTAATTGCAGTTCTAGCCTTCAACACTGTTGTCTTTCTTTCTCTCTCCCAAGAGGCAACTGAGGAAACTCCATGATGTCTAAAATACATTTTAAAAAATGGAGAAAACACATTAGGGCCTGTTCTTGCATCAACCATTTCACTGAAAACAGTGAGGAGGAGCTCGCTTGCTCAGAATCAGGTTCTGTGAATCAGGACAGGTTGTTTCCTGTGGAACTCTTATGGAACAGGCAAAATCTATCAAACAGATGAGTTTGGAAAATGGTAAGCTGGAATACACTTTAGAGTTGTAACTATTCACAAAGAACATTCTTTGTCTGGTTCCAGACCTCAAAATATCCAGAAAAGCAACCAGCTGTGAAAACAGAGCTTACTTATTGAATCTTGAGTCTGTAGAAAATGCCCTACAGTCTGAATGATACCTGGACTCTACTTGTTCTTAATCATGACTGTGAAATCTGAAGTTCTTCACACCCTCTGAGATTTAGAAATTAGATTGCTGCATAGTATCAAGATTTAAAATGGACATGGAATTGCAGCAATGGCTTCTTAGGCTTTCTTATTTCTGTGTATCTCTAACATTTAATGTTTGATTAGGAAGATCACTGGAAATTCCTGTGATTGGTGCAGCTTTGGTTCAGAAGTTAACATAATCATTCTTGTTCTGGCAGTCAGCAACTCCTTGAAAAGTCACCAATTCTACAAGCCTTGTTTACCCAAAGTTAGAAGACATTCTCACCCTCACAATCCTGAAGAAGAAAAGGATTTGTTATGCTTCTGCCAGAACCATCTGGTTAAAGCCAAAGCCCTGTGTACTCTAGAGCAAGCTGGAGGTTCTCAAGAACAAGCCAGACCTAAATTCTGGAGCAAGATCACTGGCTCCTGTAGCCTCCGCTGCAATTTCTGATTTTTTTTCTAGCTATAGGTTTGAGTGTCAAAAATATGCAATTAATTTCCTTGTGGAGTTTGTTTTTTATATTCAATTTATTTTATTCTGTCCACACACTTCCAATTTACAATATGCATTAGATTGTCATCTTTAGGTTTCAGAGTCAACATGTTAAGAGAATGGGGCCTGAATCATGGTGTCATCACAAATTTGTAGAGAGTCAGCAGTCCACTAGTGGATTTATTCACACTGAGGATCACAAAATGAACAATTTGATGACTGGGATTAAAGGCACGCTAATAGGTAGCTAAAAGATAAGGAGGGAAACTGACTCTGTCCTCTTGTTTCTTTAAGGTATCATGCAGGCCTGAAATGGTATTGGCTTTTGCTTGTTTTGAATTTTTTCCTCTTCAGAGAGAGATGCATGTAATATTTTTTCTTTATGTCTTTCACACTGGAAATTCAGGACTTGCCTTTTGTAATAGCATAGAGAGCTGGTAAGACTATAGTTGAGATGCCATGCTAGTTAACCCTGATTGAGGGGAACATTACTTTTGTTCAAACAGGGGTAGGACAGGGAAATAACTATTGAAAGAACACCTATTAACATACATGCTTGGATGAACATTTGGGAGAACAGGTTCTTAAGGATTCAACACCCTTCCCCTTCAGTTAATGGCTGAGAAAGTTCACAATAGGCGAACTCTAGGACCACCAGATTTGACATTCCTGTTTATTCTAAGGTAAGAAAGAATCAGGATTTTAAATATATATATATTTATTTATTTTGATATGGAGATCCTCAGACTGCCTTTATATATCAAAAACAACAACAAAAAGCATTAAAAAATGGCCCAAACCCAGATTTTGTTCTGCTTTTGCAGGTCACTTTTGACCGTTCAAGCATTTTCTGCTGCCTTCCCACCACTCCCATTTCTGAACAGGAAGTTTAGAAAAATTGTCATGCGTATTGTCACACCTGAACAAAAAAAAGCCTGGCTCTTAAGTTCAGTAAAGGTAGCATCCCTATGTCAGTTTCCTTTACCCGTGACATGGTGAAAAAAGGTAGGACACTTACACCTGGGCTCTCTTCCAAAATTTCATACTGAAGAAGTTGGATGGATCATTCTAGAGATGTTTTCAACCATCTTATCACTGCTTCTCTTCCTGGAAGTTCATCACCTTCATGTTCTATTCAGGGGTTTGGCTTATTTTCAAGATGTAGTGCATTGTCAAGAGTCATGACCCCAGGGGGAAAATAGACACCCTATAATTACAGTAAAATGGCAGTAAGAGATTAGGATGGCTTATTGAAGAACTAGGGAAAGTTTCTATAAAAATTTCATTTTATTTAAAAAAAAAAAGGTGGGGGGGAGTGAAATGTAGCAAAACTCAAAAATCTGAAACTGTTGAACTCATTTTAAGGATTTCTTTATCAACAATGTCACCAAGAAGCATAAAACTAAAATTAGTAGCTGGAGGTAGGTCCTCTTCCCGGTTCCTTTAGCAATGCCAGAGCTGCTAAGCTCTGCTTGAATTATAGGAGGATAATTCTTTACTAAAAGAGTTAAGTTTCATTTAAAAAAATAGATCCCATTTACTCACATGTGAGTGGACTGACTGGTGACTCATCATTCCATTTAAATATACAAAATAATTCATAATCATATTCTCTAAAGGAAAAGAGATCTGCAATATGGAGAAAAATGGCTTTTAACTCTCTCTGCTCCCCCCACTTTATGATGTATAAAGAAAGGTTGAGACTTTTTAAAAAAAAATTAAATAATTTGAATTTTTTAAAAACATTTGAAATGTCAGTCCAGGTCTTTCCTAGTTTTGATAGAAGACTCATCAGTGATCTCCAGTGTATATGGTGAGCTTTTTCAACCCTTAATTGAAGCAAAAGAAGTGTCACATCTTAACAAAAACTACTTTTTCTCCTAATTATTTAATGTATGTTTGAGTTAAACAGATGTAAACAAAACAGAACTTTTAAACTGTCTGACTGAAAATTCCTTTCCTTCCCCATTGTTCAGCTTTCAATGTCTTGTAATGCTACATCTTGTTAGTCCTCCTTAGCGATTTGTCCATAAGACAAGTGTACCTCTACAGTACAAGCTTGGTATTGTCTAGAAAACAGTATCTGTTGGTGAAGCTTGCCTTTTGCCTTCCTCTTACACAGGGTTCCACGGGTATAATTAGGGGTATGGTGCAAACACCTGTTCACTTCTTTCTGACCAGCAGATATGCAGAGTCCAGAGCATACTTGCTATCATTAATGCCTCTATCATCTGCTTCTTCCTTTGTTCGTGATCATTTGGATGGTTAAAAACAAAAAAACAAAGCCATAACTCCTTGCTGGGGTGGAGGAAGGAGGAGCATGCCTATCATGGAGTTCATTCTTACTCCTTTCCTGTTTTCATTAATAGTCACTTTGAGAGTGGGTTGGGGTGCCTGTGGATTGCACAGGAGATGTGCAGAGCCTCAAGTATTTAGCAGTTCCACGGCTAGGGAATTTTCTGCAAATTCTGCTCCTGGCTGCAGAATCTAAGCTTTTA